CTAAAGTAGGAATGCCGGTGATTGTGGGAGAAACCAAGATCCAGTGGCAGGGGCGCACAACGGGTGTATTGCCCGGCAGAAGCAAGCGTTCTGCGCGCTCGGGATCCACCGCATTTGCAAACGGACGAGGAGGCAGGCAACGGATTGAGTCAGATCTGGAACTTAAGTATTCAGGTGGTCAGATGAGAGTATGGTAGAGCGGGTAATCCGTGTTCGCGCCGCAGCCTAGTAAAGTAAGATCCAACACGCAGGCAGATTTCGTGCATGGGACGGGGCCCCGGACCCCGAATTGTAATGCCGGCCGGAAGATTCGGGCACCGAAAGCCCGTAGCTGACGCCATCCAAGTCTCCATCCAGGAAGCCGTCCCGTTGCTCGTCAAGCAGGAGCGGAGGTCGAGGAGCGGGGTAACGGCACTGGCGTGATCTGTTGTTCACTTCTATCAGAGCTATTTAAATATGTCCAAAGGCGACCTGTCGAGTTTGGGTGTAGAACCCTATCGTGACCAAATATCATCGCAATATGGCCGCAACAACGCAACAGCGGATTGAGTTCCTTTCCGGCCTCGGACTGGACTCGCAGCAGATCGAAAGCATTCAGGGCCGCGAAGAAGCACCTGGAAAATTCGCCGAGCATGTCCTCACTACCATTTATCCTGCTGCTGTGGACATCCCCGAGACTCCGGCATACGACGAGGCAATAAGGGGAAACTGGTCCGTACATGACTTGCGAAGCGATTTACAAGATGATGCGTTGACCCACAGTGTCCCACAGGTCAGCGTTGGCCCGAAAGCATCCTTCAATTGTCTTTCGTCCCTCGTCGGCTGAGGAGGTCGCCAAAGCTGTTGCTATCCTCGAGTTCTCCAATCAGAGGTTTGCTGTTCGAGGCGGCGGCCACTCTCCAAACCCGGGATGGGCCAGTATCGAGCAAGGCGTCCTGATCTCCACTGATCGATTGAATGGTCTTCAATATGATGAGTCCTCCAGGATTGCTCGCATTGGTGCTGGAAATCGGTGGGGAATGATTTATAGTTATCTGGAGCCGTACGGAGTTCTAGTCACTGGCGGCCACTCGTCGCCCGTCGGCTGCGTGGGCCAGATTACAGGTTGTAAGTCGTCCCCCTCCCGCTCTTTCAAGGCTCAGTTACGTGATCAGAACGCAGGAAAAGACTAGATGCTGATTCCCACTGGAAGGCGGAAATTCGCCCTGGTTCCATAAGTACGGTTGGTCCTGCGACAATGTTGTGAACTTCGAGGTCGTCACAACGGGCGGAAAGATTATCAACGCCAACAAGGACGAAAACGAAGATCTTTGGTGGGCGCTCAAGGGCGGTTCAAACAACTTCGGCATCGTCACTCGCTTGGACATGTCGACCTTCCCAGTCTCGAACGGGGTCTGGGGCGGAATCATCATGCATAACTGGAGTAGGGATTCGCAACGCCAGTGGGCTGAAGCCTTTTACAAATTCCAGACAGACAACCTGCTGGAAGACTCTGGCGTCGAGTCCCTTACAGGCTGGACCATGACGGGGGGTCGCAAGTACCTCCAGAGTGTACTTTCGGCGGATAGACACGTCTTCGAGAAAACTCACCCCAGGGCTTTTGACTGCTTCTTCGACCTGAACCCAGAGTCGGTCCTGACCAGGAACTGCACGCCTTTCCAACTGGCCTATCATGATGATCCAACCGCAACTGCGGCCAGCGGAGAGCCAAACGTATACTTTTCCGAGAGCACACGGCAAGTTCCAACCCCCGCGAATGCTCATTGCCGATGATGTTAACAAAATAAGGTCTTCGATGCTTTGTTTGACTGTCAAGGCGAATCTTGAGTTCTACTACGAAGCCGTTGATATATTCCACGATGCGTTCAAAGATATCTCCCAAGTTACCAATGCATCTGCTACCATGAACATGTCAGCAATCTCCGGCCAAACCATGCGCGAATCGAATCAGCGCGGCGGGAACCCTCCTGGCTGGGCCGAAGAAGATCAATGCAGTGAGTAGGACCCTCACCCCCCATCTGTGGCAGTTCCGGTGTATTAATATCATGTCAGTTGTCTTTCTCGACAACGCATGGCTGCATGAGAAAGACACTGAGTACATGCTGAGTGCTGGAAAGCAATGCATCGCTCAGCTTAGAGAAGCCGCACAGGCTCGCGGCGTATTGATGCCCCAGATTTGGATGAACAACGCAGGACCAGATGACGACGTCATTGCGAGCTACGGCAAAGAGAACTGGACCAAACTGCGAAATATATCGACCAAGTACGACCCCAAGAAAACCTTCCAGCGCCTTTGCGCGGGGGGCTATAAGATTGAGAAGACTTGAGGTTTCCTTCAGCCCGTCTCGGGGTTGGTCACACATGCGATGGAGGCCAAGTCGCGCTCGTTTGTCCAAGTCTTTTTAGTCAGGTCTCGAATTGGCGCAATAAACTTTAAAGTATTCTCAGATTCTCTTCTATCGTTGCAAATAATTTGATAATGTGAGCTCTTTTAAACTCGCCGAGCAACGGACTGAACTGGGCCTGCTAAACATGACTTAGGATTTATGAAGCATAGCGTCGTCATTGCCTCATCTCCGTTGCATGGAGTAAAATTCAACCGTGTTACTGGCACACCCATCAATACTGATGAGCATCACGCAAGTTAGACCTTTCCTCCTAGATGTAAGTGAGTAGGTAGGGCGGCGCTTCACTGAACCTCCCCGACAAAAAGCGTTTGAGGAGGGCAAGAGGAGTCATGATCTGATCAGCATGGTAAATGGACATATTCCTTGCCATTTGAAAAATCTAGCCCACCTTCCGATGCTCGCAGAATGAGCAGGTTTGGGTGTTCGGGTGATGAGAGTATGTGTAAGGGTCTGCACTACTTCTGGAGCCAGCGATGGCAATGCCTAGCCAGGCTCTAGGCACGAGTAGTCGCCTCAAGTCGAGAAATCCTAGCTATATTACCTTAGCAATATCATCTCATGCTTCACGCTAATAAAATGCCCGCGCTTACGAAAGATGCATGTTGACGACAACTTGAACGTTTATATGGAAAGCATGCACTGTCTTTTCAACCGTATCAACCGGCAATCTGCGCATGTAGGACGTGAAAGTAGGCATAAGCTCTTGCGGCACCTTCATGGCAGATGCCATTGATTTTACACCCATCTCTGAGCGCTGCACCAGATCTGACACAAGGAGGCTCTTAACTTCGACAAGCTCTATCAAGGCCACCGGCCGACTAAATAATACGTAATCCTGGACCTATGCCCAACACGTCACCATCCCCTTCACCCCCGTATCTCAAACAGCAAGCGTCACTTCAGTCGCCGAAAAAAGGACTTTAAAGACTTGGAGAATCGCCTTTCAAGAGTGCCTGCAACACATTTCAAGCCCACAGGAACACTTGCGAACGAGGGAAATACAGAGATGAGCGGGAAGGCAGAAGGTAGGGGATACTAAGAAAAGGGACGTTACAGCCTCCACTACATGAACGCAACTAGACGAAGCTTTTTTCAGTGGCTTAGTGTAGAGTTGCAAATTGCTGCTTGCTGCTATCAAACTCACAAGCAAGCCTGTGCAACTCGTTCTGATGAGGCTGCGTTACTTGGTCTATGGCCTGGGTGATGCTCGTGGGGGACCAAAATCGATTTCGTCTCTCTTTATCTCTCGCACAATTGCTTCGCTGGGTCCTCGTTCAACTTGTGTCGTGCGAATAGCGTTATGATCTCAGCCATCGATGAGGAAACCAGAAAGCGAGCGAATTTAGCAAAACAACCAAGCGATCTTGTTAATGAAAACGTATTTGCAATTTGTTTCTCTAAATATTACTGCTCTTCAAAGCAAACATACCATTATGAAATAGCGGATACAAAGGAATCGCGAAGAAAACACCAACTTTAAACAAAACAGAGAGCCGACAAAACGCGGGCAAATCTATCGAGAGCGTCGGGCTGGCACTCAACCCCGAATCTGATTACCACAACCTCTATAAACACTTGTTACTCACTCTTTACCTTGGACTTTTTGGGCACACGAGCCAGCCAATATAGTGCCGTTGCGACAACCACGTTGAAGACGATGAACACCCACATGAAGCCAAAATTGCGCCACCTGTTTGCAAAGTCCACATTGATGCCAGAAAGGAACGTATTCGTGTCGGCAATGGCACAAAATCGGCACCGGCCAGTACTATCAGGGTCCTCGACGAAGCCTCCGGCTATCTCAAGGTATGACTGCATGTACTCGCCGCAGGTGCTTCCGTTCGGGACGTTGAAAGAGACGTACTCGTTGTCAGAGCAGATGGCCGCTGCATTTGCAAGCGCCGTGCCCAGGAAGCCTTCGACGAAGTATGTGAATGGGTTGACACGGTACATAAAGATCCAGAAACCAGGCAGGACTTTGGGGCCGGCCAAGATACTGAGACGAAGTTAGCGAAACGAGCCTTGTGGTGACTTAGGCAAGATCTAGCAAATAGAGGCTTACCCGCAGAAAGAGAACATCAGAACGGTGATGAGACCGACGACGCCTCCAGCCACCTCAAAGCTGTCTAGGCCGGCAATAATGAGGTGGGCAAAGGTGCTTGAGAAGAGGAAAAATACCCAAACGAAAAGGAACACCGTCACACCACGGGAATGTTCCGCACCAGTTTGTCGGGCGTTCTGGTAAAGGCCCATTGGGAAGTACCATAGTATGTAGCTCAATACTGAAAGAAGCTAGTTCGTTCTGTTAGCAGGCCAAAGGTGTCAAGGAATCACATAATGTGCTCACTGAGTTCCAAAATGCTTCAACGAGCATGTTCGCGCCAAGGAAGGCCACCCAAGAGTACGTCTTGGATGGGCGCTCGCGAGCCTCGTACATGGTTCGCTGAGAAACGAAAATAGGTAGGATTTGGTCGACGAGCTGACTGAAAACTGTGAGGAAGATGAACACTCCAAAGATTTGGTTTTGAAGGCCGTCCTGAGTGTTTTTAATGTTTAGAAAAGATAAGCCAATGAATAGAGCCTGGTCAAGTTAGTAAATATAGTTCAACAAGGAGTGATAGTAGATGGCTTACAGCTCCACAGGATAGGAAGGCTTTGGACATTAGGTATGATGGGCTGCGCCAATACTGCTGGAAGACGCGCCAGCAAACTTCCCTATATTGCAGACTCAAGGGCACAGCGAACTCCGAAAACTTAGATAAGTCCTGATTTTCTTCGATAGGGCGACGACCGGCTTCCAATCTCTCGAGCTCATCCTGTACGCCTCGGTACTCTGGGCTGCGTCGCCAAACATCCGGCCAATCGATCTCGCTGTGTGTTCCCGGAGCTGCACCAATCACATGTAACATGTGCTCTGCAGGGTTGGCCTCCGGTGTGCAGGCAGGACCACCGTTGCGGACGAAGTAATCGTTCAGAGTCTGGGAGTTCTTCCCGATAGGACCAAAGTAAACTGTGCGACCCCCCCGGGCGAGGAGAAGAAGCCTATCAAAACGCTGGAACAGGATAGCCGAGGGCTGATGAATCGTGCAGAGGATAGCCTGGCCGCTGTTGGTAAGCTTCTCCATTAGGTTGCAGACTGACCACGAGGTCTGGCTATCGAGGCCTGAGGTAGGTTCGTCGAGGAAAAGAAGAAGCTGAGGTCTTGCAGCTAATTCGACCCCAATAGTGAGTCTCTTGCGTTGTTCGACGTTAAGGCCCTCGCCAGGGACACCGATCACGGCGTCGGCATACTGCTGCATATCCAGGAGACCGATGACAGTGTCGACGTAATCCAGCTTTTCCTGGCGTGAGTATTTCGAAGACTGCCGTAGCATGGCGCTGAAGGATAGAGCCTCTCGAACGGTCGAAGTATGTAGGTGTAAGTCTTGCTGCTGGACGTATCCCGTTTGACGCTGGAACGAAGCATCCCGAGGGTTTCCGTCCACCAGCATGCTTCCTGAGATGACGCCCATGGTCACTCGGCTCGCCAAGACATCTAGAAGCGTTGTTTTACCCGCACCAGAAACTCCCTTTTGTGACATGTAAGTGCGACGTAGATTAAGGGGCGTGAAAATCAGTTCGACGTACCATGAGTGCCGTCAAAGTTCCGGGTTTGACCCAGCCATCAACGTTATCCAGAATCCTGCGCGGCTCGTCCTTAATCTTAATGTCGTAACAGATGTCCTTCCAATGGAATATTGATGTAGCCCTTTCCATGTTTGCGGCGTCCCCAGAGGAATAGCCAGCGTTGGGATTCTTGTCGCTTGGACGATTGCTCGACCCACTCTCGATGTCCTGAGCTTTTTGTCCCCGCGAGCTTATCGCTTTGCGCCTGAAGACCAAGACCTCCCCCTTAGATCGTTCCGAAGCCACGTACTCCGCGGCTACCAGGTGTCCAACCATGAAGGCGATGCCAAAGACGATCATGATACCGACGTTGCGCCACCTGTTGGCGCTCTGATATCCATACGAAGCATTGATATACGCGGCGCCCTCAATGGAGTCCGAGCCAGGGGTCGAGCCGGCGACGGTGCAGACGCGCTGGCTGGGCTCGACGGATCCATAGTCGGGGCCGGCTGGCACAAACGCGACGCAGCGAAATGCGCGTCCGACGAACTCGTTCACAAGCAGGCTCTCAAATCCATACTGGACAGGGTTAATCCAGCGTAGCCAGCCTAGCCAGACCTGCATGTATTGGATTCTGATGGCGAACCCGGTGTACAGACAGATAACAAGTAGGATGACAGAGGCCGGTGCTAGAGCTTGCGCAATAGTTTTCGTGAGGGAACCCATAAGCCTGAACATCATCGACATGGTAAGTGTTACGATGTAGATGACCAGGAAGAAGAAAAAGAACGGCCCGACCTCACGTCGTAAATTACACATGAAATAGATCGCGAGGTTAGTCAAAATCGAATTAACCGTCTTGTAGGGTAAATCGACAATCATAGCCGCTAAGGCTTCGGCACTCGGATGGTATAGGGCGTATCGGTTATGCTTTTCGACAATAGGCCTTTTAGCATAGAGAGTCATAATTTCCAACATACTGCCAAAGGCATTAGTCAGGACGATGAAAAACATGAGAGTACCACGCCTTGAAATGCTGCTGGAGTCGTTCGGCATGTTGTAGAAGATGGAGGACATGACAAGGGCCATGAAGATGTTGGTGACGAGCATGGTCAAAGTCATACTCGGATCGCTCTTGAGCAGAACCCAGCTACGCCATAAAGTGAGCTTCACTTGTTGCCAATACGATAGAGTGAAGGGAGAGCTCTCGCGCTGGGAAGTTGCCTGATCACTCCGGCGCGAGGCCAGGAAGCTATTGTAATGCTTGCCGTTGAAAGGATGCTGGTCAAGGTAGTTATCGATCTCGTTCACGAGCCGAAGTCGGTGCTCACTCTGTCTCCATGCGTCGGCGAACTCGTCGGGGCTGCGCGGGGTATTGCAGCCAGGTCGTACAACGCGTTCCTGATGGCTGGTCATTGATGTGAGGAAATCGGCTGTCGTCTGACGTTCTGGACAGATAAACCCAAGCCCTTCGAAATAGGCTTTCGCCTCTTCCGTTCGGCCAAAGAATATCTGCCGACCTTCGTATAGAACAATAACTTTATCGAAAACCTATAGCCTTTAGTTAATATCGTAATCTCTACTATCTTCCTAGCAGAAAGCCTTCACCTCGTACGCGTCCTGGGATGCTTGGTAAATTGCGACGCAAGCCGTTGAGCCGAGAATATCAGCTTGCGTCCGAAGTGTTTTGCAGAACTCGAGAGCGTTAGCACTATCGAGACCACGCGTACTATTGTCCCAGCACTGCAACGGCGAGTGGCTGAGGGCGGCCTCCGATATCGTAACTCGCTTTCTCTCACCACCGCTGACACCTCGGATGAAATCATCTCCGACACGTGTGTTTTTGGTGTGAGAAATTCCGAACATGGCCATAGTAACATCACGCAGATGCTCTGCATACTCGCTGCGAGAGACGCCGTCTGGAATTGTCTTGGGACAACGAGCGAGTGCTGCGAAGTAAAGGGTATCTCCCACGGTCATGTGGGGAAAATGGGCATCAACCTCGGCAGTATAGATCGCTTCGCCTCGGAACGCAGTCTTCATTTGCTCCGCTCGTATACCCTGATAGTTGATGGTGGTATCGTCGCTGACGTGGAACCCATGGGTGTCTCCGGCGATGGTGCGCAGAAGCGTCGAGCAGCCTGAACCAGGGGGGCCAAGCACAGCAAGCATCTCACCGTTGTGTACGACGCCTTCGAGGTTATGTAAAATATCGATTCGCTGCTGCTTCTGCTGCAGCAGAAGTTTCTTGAAAACTGTGACGCCCTCAAGTGCGAGGTTGCCAACCGTCTTTTGATAGTCCGTCGCCGTTCCGAAGCCGTAGACGCTAAGGTCCCGAAAGGCTATGCCAGTGGTTCGAGGGGGCACGCCGTCACCACAACCCCTGCGTAGGGCGAAAAAGGCCTTGGCCCATTTTCTGGGGTTGAAGTCGGGGCTTTCAGGGTTCAGGGGGCCATTAGTTGGAAGCGGGAAGAGCGACGGCTGGTGTTGAGAGTGGGAGGTAAATCGGCGAGCAAGCTGAGTGATCTCTTCTTCCATGCACTCTTCCTGGCTTAAGCCATCGTCGGCGACTTCATTGGGCTGGGGGTATATGTCTTCGACGCCCGTTCCTTCAGATTGCGTATCCGTGGGAGTCGCTCCCTGTTGGTTTTGATTCGTTGGAACGGCACCGTTTCGGACCCCTGCTTCCGGCGGGCTCATCGTAAAAGTCGCAGCTGTCTATTATGTAGTTGAATGAATGAATGATAGTATTGCCGTATTGTTGCCAGATGAATGAGAGTCCTGAGGAACAGGTGCCGCGAGGAATCGACACGGTTAGGGGGGAGTTTATAGGGGAGAACTAAATCACACGAAGAGGAGAGATTTTACTTAAGAGAGATCGCAGAAGAAAAACAGGCGCTGATTACAGCCCAAAGCAATCAAACACGTTTCGTGACTGCGAATCGGGATGATCAGTGGAATTTCACAGTCGGCCGCCCGGACATTCGGCTGCCGGGGCTTCGGCATCTCGCTCTCCCGGAAATTCGGGCCCCGAAAGTGCGAGCAATTGCGGCTGGCACGCCACGGTGGATAAGAGGGATCCTTCAAGGGTGGTACAGTGGAGATTTGCGTACGAAGTCAATGTCGTCTTTTGGCGACGAAGTTGGTGCTCCTACAAGAAATTTGGAAACCTTCTCCAGATGTAAAAAGACTTCCAGAAATACTGGAGGAGGAACAAAGTTGACGAAGATGCTCGATTGGTTCGGACAATAAAACCACGAGTATCCTAAGCGTCTCTCTGGTCTATGTATCCATGAAAATCACCCTCCATCATCCTTAACATGTCTTGATTCTGAGCATACCAATCCCCCAGTTGTGCACCCCCAAAATCCATTTGCTCTGTCCCGGCGAAAGTACTCGAAGCACCAGGGATTGTTAAAAAATCACCCCCAGTCTCCGCCGCGTCAATGCCAGACGGCTGGATTGGCAATCTGAGATCCGACTCGCGAACAAGTCTCTCGAAACTGCCATCCGGGTGGGTCTCCCGCGCGCTCGCCTTGACCTCGACGTACCGACTTGCAACGTCATAGAAGTGCTTGAACAGCCGGTGCTGCTTGCTGTACGTCTCCACGTAGCTGGCGGGCATCGATTGCAAGACCTCGACCACGGACTTTAGGTGCTCGAGGTCGGTTGGATCGGACGTCTGGATCACGTGGCAGAAGAGTACGGTAAACGGGACGAAGGGAGACATGAGAAGTATCCTGTTCCATACGTAAGTTTTGAGGCTCCCAGCGAATCTCTTCGGCAGAAACGAGACACATACCAGGAGATGTAGAACGCATGCACATTGTCTGTCTGCTCCCTCAACAGCCGAATACAACGACCGTGCTCCTCCATCGCCTGTCGAGCCGTCACAATGCACTCATCGCAGAATGCGACATTCCCTGCTGCACCGTCCGTTGGGATGCCGCGGTAGATGAGCGTCAACAGTGACAGGTATGAGACGTGGAACGCCCGCGTGAATAGCTCATGCAGCGACTCCCCAAGAGCCTGGCGCCTCGCAACCTCGAGGCAAGTCTGCACGACCAGCTCGTCAGCCAAGAGTCGGGAATGAGGCAGGTAGAGAAGCGATGTCGAGAGCAAACCTGGGTATAACTCACCTCAGACGGGGATGGGGCATGATAAACCCTAAAAAGCTCATCTGCCAGCGACTTGGCCCGAATGATTCTGACACCTTCGGCCTGTCCCAGCGCGCTTAGGCTGTAGATCTCTTCGTACACTTTCCCGTGCAGCTGCGCGATGTGAACCCATCTCGCCGGAATGGGAAGCACGGCGCCGTCCGAGTCGAGCACGTCAGCTGTCAGCTGCACACTAATATCGATGTCCCGTATGGTTGATGGACGCCCCAGCCTGAGAGAAAGCATCTTCTCTGTAATGTAGATGACCCAGAAGATCCGCGTGCTGCGTTTCTTGGGTGCTGCTCGCGCGCGGCCCGGAGTGGCCAATCTGTGGAAGCCGAGCAGCTGGCTCTTGTGTGAGGCAGCGACGATGAACCCCCAGGCTACTGATGGCTTGCACCGCTCGAGCATGTACGAAGCCTGTATTCAACGTCAGTTGTGATATCTATGCACAGGGGAGTCCACTTAGACGATTGCTGTACATACCGCCATGCTCAGGGCTAAAACCATGTCCAATGTCGACGGAATGTCGAATGGCAGACTAGAGAGTGTTGTCTCAAGATTACTTTGACACACTTTCGACTGCCTCGTGTACTCGGTGGTCAGCGCCTGGCTATCTACTATATTACTGCATTCGACGAGAAGCCAGTAAAGGCCCGCATTGACAATGATGTGGTCGGCAACGGTAGCTTGATCGGTCGAATATACCGTGAGAAGGTGTTCGATGAATTCGCCCGTGGACTGGAACTCTAGAGCCCAGAAAAACTTGACGCGAGGGTTGGCTAAGAAGAGATCAGCGTCATATCGATCTCAGAAACGCGACGGCACTGGGTGGTGTAGGTCAACGCACTTTTCAGCTTCCGCAAACATGCCACGGCCATCTCTATCGGGGGCATGGGCCTCGGTCCATTGTCGCCGACCCCCGAACCGCGCAACGACGGCGTTGCATGTGGGTACATGTTACCGACCGAGTCCCCAGGCACGACCATGCCTCGCGTTTCGCTCGCCTCACGAAGCGTGTCAAGAGCCTGCAAAGCCTCGGGCGAGGCTGCGTGCATGGCATGCTCGCTCTGAACGGCATCCTGAAGAAACTTGGTCACGTGCCCAGCTTGCGTGAAAAGCGATGACTCGCCCTCCAACTCTGACTCTGAAGGTTGGTTCCGTTTGCCACCGTTACTAAGGGCGTCCGGCGATCGGATCATGGTCGCCTTCGGTGCTGAGACCGCGATAGTCGAGGGCTGGGAATACGGTGAAGCGACATCCTGTAAGGTCGTTCTGCCAAAACCTTCAACCAGGGTGCAAATCGAGTCCAGCTTTCTGGATATCTCTGCGAGTTTATCGTCCCTGGGGCCAGAAGTAAGCCAGTTTAACTGAAATCAAGAGAAAGACTGAGAACATGGCGACATTCGCATCCAGACGTACTCTCTAACAGAGCCCGGCAAGCTTTGGCGCTTCTTCCTCGGTTTATACCCTGCGGGAAACAAGCATTTCTTGCCCGTTCGCAAACAGTGAGAACAAGGATCCCGTCGGTCGCACCGCACCTGTTCCTGTTAGTATTCAGACGGGTATGGACAGCACCTCCCATCACTGAATGGCAGGTAAAATGACGATGGGCTCAAAATTTACCTTCCGATGACGGCACGAGGCGCACTAAGGTTGGTCAATATTAGCATCTTGGTTGCCCTTTGGTGCAAGCGGGCAGGGAGCTCTCACGGCTAGTCTGTGTGGGATAAGCTTGGGTTGGTCCATTTCGGTACTTCGAAACCATGTCATCTCTTCACTGCCAGGATCCTCGTCACTTGAGCTCTCGCCTGGCCGTTCCATGTTATGGGTCGCCGTCGGGGAAGTCATGGTCATCGGAATGTCGGAGTGCCCGTAAGGTGCATAATTTGTTTGATGAGCTCAGGGCTTTGCCGTATCCTGAGTACAAGGAATTATGAGAGGGATTCAGGCAAGCGATCGGCTTTCGCGAGCTTATGTTGCTTGGAATGGCCCAGGGTTGTGCCTGTGGCCTGACGCGGGCTTTTCGCCCGAGTTTCGGGGTCCGGGATCTGCGGGGTGCGACTGGCCGTGTCACCGAAATGCCGGCATAAATTGGATGCACTTGTTTCCTCTCCATACCTAGAGGACTTGTCTGTGAAGACGGCTGTATATGGAACGACCGCAACGCATATATCTTCATCTAGATAGCCACGTGAGCTAGGTGAATTCCCCAACGGCATCAGACTTCATGCACCTAACCATACCTAATTTACACTGATCAAAGCCAGACTCTCAATCAAGCGACATGTTGGACAGACGATTATCCATGATGATGCCTCGTAAGTCCTTGTGCGTGCTCATTAGGGCAATCCATCTCCCCAAGGCCCATTCGTGAACATAAGAAGGACCATCCAGTCATGCAAAACAATCTCAACTCTTGAGATCCGAAAGGTTGATATCTTGGTATGCCTTCCCAATCCAGAGGATCAGGCGCTCGGCATCGCGTAGCGTCGCGTGGTGTCGCGCGAACTGCCAAAAACCAGAGTTCTGTAGTGCAAATGTGTATCCTCCTCCTTAAAAAAGACTTCCTTGTGACATGAGAACAACCAGCGAATACCCAGAATAATTATCATGTGTTCCATGATGCAAATTCAACTAATCGTGGAGTGAGATTGATAGTCACAGAGAGCTACCACTGGGGGTGTCATCGGCCGCATAAATTCCTCGCCAACTAAGAAAAACAGACTGGTCATTGCATCGAGGAGACATGCCACTTTTCATATTGCAACCAACAGCGGGACGCTGAGGCCCCTTATGATTTAGCGACTGGGAGTGGCACGGGGAGGCCAACATATCCCTGTTGAACAAACGGGACTGACAAACTTTGCTTCTCATATACCTACCAGTCATGACAAACTGACCGCCAACGCACTGACCGAAATCAATCGCGTTGGGTTTCAGACGCCCGAAACTGCGGAAACTGCCCACCACTGTCGACGTGGACTACCTGATTCTGCGTCATCTCCATCATCACCCATCTAGACCAATTGAGCATGATCAGCGTGAAGAGGCATACTACGAGCTAGACGAATCCGGCATACGTATGCTGCCCGTCAGGGGTCGGTCCATCGAGAAACATTAGGGTGGCGCACCTTGGCTTCCTCCAGCAGTCTCACAACCTACCGGAGCAACCTCAGATACTCGAATGCGTGCCTCCCTGATCACATATTGACACGTCGTCTGTCAGCGCCAGGAATGCTCGAAGCGTTAGCAGCCGGCCAATCTCAAAGGGTTTTTGACCAAATGGTTTCTCCGTGGCGGGCAGATGCTGTAGGCAGCTCTTTGATCTTTGCGGAAGCTATTGGTCTTCTATACCCTTTCGCCGGCACCTCTGGCGGGGCCAGAATCGACTAGTGGAAGATCCATAATCACCCTGTGAGCATTCGTTGAGCCAGGTTAAGCAGAAGAGCCATATTGATTACATCCATAGCGCTGGGTGAAAGGCTCTTTGACGCAGGATCTTCAAGTATATGTACCTTCATTCAACGCGAGTTATAAGCTCTCACATGTGCTTATGATCCTCTGCCCGCGACTTGCCCTGTAATAGTGCCTACATCACCTGGAGGTACAGTTGCTCGTCTAAATGGCAAGATAAGCAGAGATTTCGACCCAAGGCCATAGTATTCTGACTTAGGAAGCGTGAGCTCGTCTACGTTGAGTGCTTGCTGGCAGAGGAATCGCAGCTGGCTTATCTTGGTTGGTCGTCAATCCAGAGCAGGCGGAAATCCGATCCGCATGTCACGGCCGCCCTCGTACTTTTCGGTTTTGTTCACGCCTCAAATCTTAGCCCTATCATGTTTGTTGCGTAATCAAGCGCGTCTATTATAATTAATTCCGGACATGCAACATTGAATGTCTCCATGTAAATTCGTACCTATGCATTCACGTAAAACCTTCAAACGTTAGGCGAGCCCTCTTCTTGATCTACCTACGTACTTTAGTGTTCTCAGTTACCATCTCAATATCTCGAGGCTCCGAGTTGTCAGAAAAGGACTTGATCATGGAGGGGTACCAGACCAAGAAAATCCCCATCGTGATGACCATGAGCGTCAGGTCAAACACGTAAAGTGGCCACTCGTTAACAAGAAGGTATGCGTTTGGACCCATGATGTACTCGATAATGCGGAAAATGCACCTAAAGAGGATGAGAACCGACGTAGCGTAGAGCATCATTATTAGGGCCTGCCAGTCGAAAGGAGGCGTGGACTGGAGCTGGGTAATGCTGCTATTCAACATGCTGAAACCACCCGTGAGGCCTGTAGCGCATGTCGAAGATGATCGATGCCGCCACAAAAAGCCCAAAAAAGGCAATCTGTACGAACAAACCAGCGATGACAATCTTGTTCCCCATGTCTCTGGTATCAACAGAAGCCATGAGACCCGCGCCACCACCCTGAACCAAGAACGCAAAAACATCTCCGACGACGAAGAGTGTAGTTAGCCACTTGACGCGAATGATGGAATACGCCTCTGCAAGGGGTCCCAAGCCACGGATAATGCGGCCGAGTACCATGTAAATGCTCGCGGCGAAAAGTGAAGGGGGAATCAAGAGGAAGATGGATTGTATGATGTAGGGCAAGAGCTCGTCGGTAGCGTTTCGGGAGATGATACGGCCTGCGCACCCGATGACTTCAACTTCGGCTGGTCAGTATTTTGCAATCGATGTCAATGCAGAGCCGATTACTTACGGTAGCCTCCAATGGCAAATGGCAAGCAGAACCATGATCGGTGCCGAATCAACCTCCATGTATGGGCGAGGGAGAAAAGGAGGAAAAGAACAAGAAATATTATAGCAGCACTAGCGATGGCATGTACTTCCATAAATAGTAGTTACCCTGATAAGGGAGCACCTCCCGCGAACAGCGATCATAGCTGGGATAGTTGATGTGTTGATCAGTCGAGACCGCTTCAAAGATAGTGCTTCAGAAGGCGGGTCTGGAGAAGGATCGGGGCGTCGCGTATACGTCGTTGCAGAAGGGTAACGAATGTTAGTTATTGGTGTCCAGCATTATGACGAGGGAATGAAGATGACCTTGATGGGCCCGGAAGGCAATTTAAGTCTTTGTTCGCGGTCATATTTATTGTCTAGTTTGGATGCTTACGTGACGAGCCTCATCGTGTGGAGCTGGTGGCTCGCTCTTCGGGGTCCGTCACAGCCCTGATCTGTCCTTGCAATGCGAGGGTCTTTCCGCGGGTTCGGTAAACTATGCGAGATGATAATAGGACGGGCCAATTACGTTTGACTGACGCCCGCAGGAACAGAGCCGCCATCGGGATTGATCTCGGGAGAGCCATTTTCGCTGTCATCAGCATACATGTGAGAATGTTCACAAGAGACGGATCTACTAAAGTGTGCAGGGACTCGTGCGCTGTTGCCAGCTGGCCACGGCCAGCGGGGAGAGAGAGCTTTCGCTTAGTTGCGATTGATATGGCTGCACGACGGCTCGGGTTCCCCTGATAAATACGAAGATGCCCAGCGCGTTAGGTGTCGAGCCGATTTGTCTTGCATAGTCGCCAGGTGTTCCGTCGCTGGGTGCCATATCGCTGGGCCACTTTGAGGCAATCATGGAGGGGTTGGCGTAGGCTATGCCAGGAACAAAAACACGCCAGACGTGTTGAATGTTGGGCCGGAAAACCAAAGTATCGGCCGTGATAGTGCTGTAATGATGCATAAGCTCAAGACCCCGGCCCCACGTGTCGGTAATCGACAGGCGAGGCAATGGCCACACAGAGGGTTGGCGGGGTGTCTGCGGACGGGCGAGACATGCGGTGGTACCTTCGGATCCCGCAGGAAGCGACCGCCTCTCGCTCTGGGAACAGTGATGACCGACAAGCTACATCCGACACTTTTTCGCGTGCAATTGAAGCATGTAGGTTTCCCCTCAGCGCACTGCCGGAGAACTCGATTAGTCCGCCATGACTGAGACATGATTGGGAACAACATTATTCTCTCATGGACTAAACTTGCCGTCCGGGCCTTCGGTGTTGTCCGGGCTTTCGGTATCCGGACTTTCCGGCCCCACCCGAGAGCTGTGACTCTGGCGTGGCGGCCGGGCCGGCCCCCGCCTAGCAAGCCTAGCTGGTCGCCACCTAAACCTTGAGCATTAATTCAAGAGGTATCCGGCCAACAAAAGTGTCATAGATATATCTGTAGTTGATTTGCTGTCTGCCAGAGGGATTCTATTACTCCAGTGTAGACAGGAGATGCTCAGGCTAATTATGGTTGACTTGTCCGGGATGTGGGTTGACCGAAGAACTAGCACGGCCGCCGGATACGAAGACCATTGCGTCGCCCCAGACTGCCTATTCGAGCTTAGTGAGGTGATTCCGCGGGCGACACCGAGCGATTCATTACGAGGCGCGTGCGAGCGGGACGAATGTTAGACTGAATCGCGCTTCCACCCAACTCTGCCATCCCTTGTTCTAATGGTGTCAGATCTTTTCAGATTGATTCACGTTCGCAGCCCGCGGGACCACTTGTAATGCATGTTGATATGGGTGGATGAATTTTAGAATAGGCCTTTCACGTCAGGGACTACCACCGATCTCCATCACCGCTCAAGAGATGGTGGGAGAACCAATCATTCTGATAAGTGACGTTGAAACCAGCCTTCGAATACATAGACGGCAGAGACGGCATCGGCCAGGGTATCCTTGCCGTTGATGTCTGAGCCCCAAGGAATCGGCGCCAGGACCATAGAGTCCGCAACCACTACATCATTGATCGTTCCCGGGTGCAGTGCTACCACGCGGGGGCCCAAGGATGTCTGACGACGCGCGAGGCTCTTGTGAGACGGGGGCGTCGCAGCCTCGAGGATAGACACGGCCATGGAAGAGGGGCCACCTCCCGGGCTGAAGGCCCCGGTAGTGATATTGTTGCCTTGGCTTGGCGCGCTTGAGTTGCCACGGGCGAAAGGTGCCTGGTCAATGTACTAGAAGAGGGAAGGGACGCGGCAAATCTCGGCATCGGCGGTGCCTGTCTCGCGCTTGAGGATTTCAATGTTGCGATCGATACGCTCGCTGAAAAAGTACACAGGCTCTTCAATACCCGCGTCCGCGATATTTCCCACGCATTCGGAGACGAACTGGACCTGAGAGTTGTTATGCGTGGCGACGACGGTGAAGGCCTTGGTCACAGCTTGCGCGTGGTGATGCATCAGGACAGGGGCAACACGTAGCTCGACCAAGTCAGTGGCCTGGTCGTTGTCGTCCGAAACAACCAGGTGGATTGTGGCTTTGCCGTCCTGGCTTGGCCTACGTACATCTCGAGAGTCGGTGCCAAGCTCAAGCCCAGTATTGAGCTCGTCGGTTGTAAACGTATGGTTCGCGGCGATGTATGTCCAGTCAGCTCCCTCTTTGTAGAAGATTCTGACTTTTCTTGGCTGCTGTGCAATTCCTCATGTTGATAGATCCGGTTGCAGTGTTACTGAGTTCAGGGTTTGGAAGCCCGCGGAGCGCCACAAGGTAATTCGCGTTCCTCTGGACATTGTCAGAAGCATCGTTGCAAGAGTCAAGCAGCGCGTTGATGGCAGCGACCCTGCTCCCTTCTTCGGCTTCGAAAACTTCGAAGCCCTGTCGGAGGCTGCGAATCCATCGGGAGGATCGCTGGTCGGTGTCGCCGATGTTTGGAAATGAAGAGGGTCGCCTAGTGGGGTCGGACTAAGTGGTTTTACCCTGGGCCTCTAGGTGCTGCTTTTGGTTTTTGAGGAGCAGTCGCTGTAGTTCACAAAGCATCGCTTGGCTCTGCTGTTGGCTTCCCTGATGTCGGTGTTCCACTCCCGAATTGTCGCTTGTTGTTCCTCGCTCTCCCGTTCAACTCTGCCACCTGCGCCCTCAACCGCTGCAACGTCTCCAATAACGCGTCTCCATACGTGCTGGTTTTTTTGCTCGCGTCTAATCCAACCTTTATTCCGGCTGCTGTTGTCCGCTTCGTGTTCTTGGAAGGGTTTCTGGCCGCTATGAAGCCGTTTTCGTCTGCTCGTAGATTGTCTTGCACTTTGGAGCTTGTGGTCGGGTTGCGAGCCGATCGCCTCCGAGACGGTCCGTAATCGGTGGTCTCGGCCACGATCATGGTCTTCCCCGCGCGTTAGACATGATCGCTCCAGCGGGGAATATTATAATACACAGCAGACCCGGTTTTCTTTTAGCGTTGTTATAACAAACATTACGGCCGATGTAAACTACCCCCTCCATTCATATATGTAAGTTGATCCCGAGTCCACGTCATCTTCCCCAGTCCTGTGCCAGCTCATATACCACTCGTGCTCCCTCACTGACAGTTGTGACTAGGCCTCTTATACGCTCATGGTCTCAACAACTCGGGCAACTTATCGCTTACACGCAGTCTTCGAGTTCAAGACATGCTGACTCGGTTTCTCCGGACATACGCCAGCAATCACATCTCTGCATCTTTCTAGCGTCCTCCTTTCGCCTCCCGCATTGAATGAACGCACTGTCTCCCCATTGACGGCACTTCTCCAGCGTACTCGGTAGTGAGTAGGCAGCGCTCGGCGCACAATCCGACGGCATCTGTATGCTCGCTTACAAGTCCCTGCCTACGTCACCGACGTCCTCTTTCCTTCGGCGCTGTCCACACCAACAATGTGCGACTTCACGAAAAACTATTAAGATTACACCTCGTGCATCGACCCGGTGCTCATTTCTTCAGAACGTCGACCGATGGCAGCAAGAAGCGGTCGTGCGTCCACGGGCCCCGCGAGCGGTACATAGTGGTCCCTGGTTGCTGCCCGCTGTGTGACGACTAGGCCAACCACCTCCACGACATCAACCAGGCTAGGCTCATCGTCGCAACTATGACAGAGGTCCCGACTGGCATATCCTCTTTGACATCCCGTCAAGCAACTCAATCACTAGCATCCCCTCTCTTCATCTAGCACACCGTTCCGCCGAATGCATGTATCAGGACCCGAGAGAGGTATGAAACCAACAGGGGATCGCCTGGTATTTAACTGTAGGAATTAAGCAGAGAGGACCGAGCGTAGCGTGGGAATAGTTATAAGGAAGGCTCACGAACTAAGTTTAAGAGGAGGGCATCGATTATTCTATCTTCCTATAGACCCTTAAGAGATTGATAGTCAATTCCTTCACTCGTTGCATAAGACTCCTTAACAGCATGGCCCGGTCATCTTCTTGTCGAACTGGCAAGCCCTCGTGGCACCATGAATTCTCTCTAGACAGCTATTGTCTGACACCAGGCGTTGCCTGAGATCGATCATCACTACTTGGCGGCTATTGAGGCGCCCTTCTTCACCCCAGCAACACCTCTCGGACCACAGCAATTGTTTACGTTATCTCTGACACAGCAACAGGCGTGCGATACCGCGATTTAGTTTCCTATAGCTATTCCTAGAGTGGCACCATCACATAGAGGATTGGAGACATCTCCCATCGGCACGGCAGCCGACGAGGTCACAATGTCGGCTTAGGCCTTCTGACCACCATCTTAGGGCGACACCGTTGTAGGGGGTACGGCGGACACAAGCTGCTCAACAGTATGAGCGCAAGCGCATTGAAATCTACATATTAATCGATCGGGGAGCAAATATTGAATGCTTTGAACCACGTTGGTTGACTTCTTGCATGCAGATGCGTGGTAGACGCGGCGGGGGATATAGAGGTGGAGTGTAGTGTAGTGGAAGACGAGATAATCTAATCTTTGGACGAGATAGCTCTATCCGAGCCTATGACTGTGCTTAAGTCTTGTCACGATTTCAAGCCTCGAGTGGGTTCGAGTCCCGTTTCCCTCAGGCAACGAAAGCTAAAGGCCCTTGGTGAGATCCACCAACACGACATCAACCTGAGCCCACAACATGCAAAGATTAGTTGTACCGATGGCACCCCCCACACGCCAGGTTGATCGAACGCCCTGCAGGGCATTGAGGTTGCGAACGATGTCGTCCTCTAAATCCTTGACGGCGTAGCTGCGGTACAAGGAGCCGTGGTCATCAAAGGTCTTGAAATCGATATCATTTGCATCTCCAGTAGGAACCAACCCGGTATCCATGAGATTCTGGAGACTGGTCCGTATGAGCTTTTTGGCGTTTTCAAATGGGTATCCAGGAGGGCCACTCAGGACAATTCGATAGAGGCCGCCGGAAGACGAATCACCGACATATCGAAATTCCGCAAAAGATGGGTTTGCTGGATACAGCAAGCGGTTTCTCGGTGAAGCCTCCGGGATGGTGTTGTAAAATGTAGTATTGAATGGCAAGGAAGGGTGCGAAATGAGGCCAACGAAAAACCTATTAGCCGTGGATCTGGCCAGTAATTTGCGCTCGTTCGCATCTAGGTCCAGCGATCCAGGCTTGGCCGCATCTGGCTGAATAGCAACCAGCAGTCGTCGAGCCTTGACGAGAACCGTACGGCCGTTGCTGGATCGGACCACCAGTCGAACGCCATTCTTGATTCGCTTAGAAGAGATGACCTCGCTTTCGTACATGACGTCGTCGCCCAACAGTTCCATTGCCCTCTCGAACACTGCCAGGTTGTTGTTATCGATAGTCTGCAGTGGGTCGCCTGTCCCGGCGAAGACCCGAAGGATCGTCGTGTCAAATGCGCGGTACATATCCATGGCGGTTCAGTCGGTGGGGTCTTGCGCAACGTTGGTGCGGATGATTTCAGTGGCCGCCTCAACGTTGTATTTCCGAGCAAAGGCCGTCCACTTCATGAACAAATCCTTGGGAATATCCTCCGGTGCCGGGAAATTCTTCATGGTGGGCAAGAACATATTATCATATTTTACCCACTGTTGCTCCAGTCTCTGAAGTGCCGGCAACCACTCCTCAGGAGGAGCTCGCGTGTAGTCGACCGCTTTGCCGTCTCTGAAATCAGCAAAGCGCAGGTCACGAGAGGCAAAAGAAGGCGTCGTGACAGGCACATCCATGAGTGAAAGCATTCGGCAGGGAGCTATGCTGGAGTTGCCAAAAACCTCCACGCCGTAGCTATGGTGCTTATTCGTGACTGGGTCTGTCCACAGGTTGGTATGTCCGCCCTGGACTAGTCAGCGAGTGCATATAATGATAGTTCGGGATCCAATCCTACCAAAAGTGCGCGTTTCTCGATCACGAGTACTTTCCTCCCCTCAATCCTTCTTCAAGCTCACAGCCGCGTAGGCTCCTGACCCGCCACCGCCGATAACAGCAACATCTGTTTCGATGACAGAGTCGGGCAAGGCTACACAGGTTAACGCCAAATAATTGGCCATATATATCACCGATGATAGGATGGAAAAACGCATCTTGAGTTATCGAAAATAAGGTCTCAGAATGTAGTTGGCTGTCTCCTGTGTCGAGGTGGAAGGATGTACCTTTCCGATCTGGCGACTTAGTCTTCTACTTGAGATATAAATGGTAACTCCATGGACTGAAAGGCCCACAGAGCCGGTGATATGGCATAGAGTCTACGGAACTTTCATATGCTTCTTTGGCGCTGAGTAAGCGGTTTCGCCGGTTAATGCAGCCAGATTAGGAAGTAGCTCTTCGTGATTTGGGTTTTAATAAAGATGCAGAGAGTCCTAGTGATCTACAACCATGGCTCGTGGCGTACGCTTATCACTATACTGCCGACGGGCTCCACGGACTTTGTAGCCAAGACACACAAGTTCCCTCGTGTTGGTAATTGATTGTAAACAACCCACAGCGTTGCCCTTATTTGATCATTTGCAACCGGCCCTCCTGGTGAAAATCCCAACCGTGTGCTACAGAATGTTATAAGGTAGGACAAGACGAGTGCTAGTAGACCAAGGCCCCACCAGTACCCCACGCTGCAAGTGCCGAATGTCAACACATGCCACATTTCACAAGCTAGGCCATAATACTGTTGTCATGAGACGTGTAGTTTTCATCTCGGTATGGCAGAGTGCCAAGAAATGCTACCGGCCTCAAGAAAAAGACCGATAACCCCGTGGGCTGGGCTATGGAGTTAAGCGTTAGCCGCGGCAGTGATCTTTCGGCAGCCCTGATACTTGCCTCATTGCGAGGACAGGTGGAAGATGCGTCATTGTCACGTAATGGCGCGTAACATCAACAGAAGCTCATGGAACTCGCCAGGTCCGGCGTATCGCTAGCAATAATACAATTCCTGTAAAGTTTGGTCCGAAGAGACGGGAATGTTTCTTTCTGTGCGTTCTAGTCATGGTCTTCGGCCCTCATGACGGCCAAACAGCGCCCCGCATCAGAGCCGTAATGTACCCGCCGTTCGCCCAGCGACCTCATATCCAGTAGATAGCCGCTCTAATTCTTCATCATGCGGGGATTCTTGCAAAAGTGAAGTTCCGTTGGCCTGGTGCATGTAAAGATGTTGTCCGATCCAGGACGTAAGCTGTGGTGGCCCTGCACCAATCCGAGTCAGTCCAACGAGGATGGCAAGGCATCCAAGCGCGATGAATGCCTTTGCGGCAATGTGGTGACAGCCGACACTTCCATTTTTGCGCCAGATATGCATGTAAACCCTGTCTCTGTCTCTGTTTGATCCGGGCTCAGGACCGAACGGAGTCTCTCCAAAAGGAACATGTCCGACACGATAGTTCTGTTCCACTGCCTCCGATGCGATGTAGGTCAAGGCCAATCTCAAGAAGGTACTCGCGGCGTCTGCACTGGTGGTCTCGGACAGCTGCAATAGAGCGTCGATCCACGGACCGTGGTGCTCGGAGAACGATAGTTGTTGCTTTTTGACTTGTGGAGCCTCGTCTTCAACGGAGACTATACTCGTGAGAAGATCCTCAGCTGTTGTGGAGTATGGATTCACAAAATTGAGTAAATTCTGCATGGTCGCGCAGTCTCCTCCTAGGATGGTTCGTTGAACTTTGCGCACGGCATACCTGACCTCATAAATAAGATGTCTTGCTGCAGGTATTGACTCGGTTGAGGATGAGGTTGGATTGTCCCACAACTCCGCTGGCGCCCACCGCATCTCAATCGCTCGAGATGATTCAATACGATAGTCAACCATTGCTTGTGACCTGTTTACATTACCCCACTGATCTCCCGATCCGGCCGGCCAGTCTGAATTGACGGTTCGCATGCGTCGCCAGCCGTCGGGTGCCTCGCGTGGCATAGCAGGGGGCGGTTCCTGGTCCTGGTGCGTACTCTGATTCGCAATAAGGACAAACTCGCGCTCGTACAGGTTCCCTTGATCTTCTGGTTGAATGTTCCAGTTGCAATTCGATGTCGCCATCATGACAACGATACTGGGGGGATCCCGACGATGCTCAGGGTCATCATTCCGGAAACCATGCAGGAAAGACCTTGATGTCTCGCTATTGTGTGTATCTGCAAGCCAAGGAGCGACTGTGCCGTTTGTAGTTATTTGAAGTGGTGGAGTTTGCAAGATCACTTGCTCTTGTGACAAAGCATTATTGAACGATGAATCGGGCACCTCGCGAATTGCGAACTTGTACCCCACGGATGCCGCTGTTCCAGAAATGATGACGATGTTGCGGAATGTGATGAGCCAAGGGAAGCCTCTGAAGCCGTAGGAAACTGGAGCCCGGGGTAAGGAGTTCAGGTATCGACCATAGTTGAGGCCTTCAGCGCTTTGAGCCATCCGTGTGCACGTCCAATCGAAAAAGTGGTTATATGCTTCATGGAATCCATACGCTAGCAGTCCGAAGCCGACGCCGAGGATGGCTAGCCATACCTGGACGCCTAAATGAGAGCCAGGCCGCAGAATTTTGAATGCGTCACCGTGTACACCTTCGTCAGTCGTGCGCCGTCCGACGTCAATGAGGACAGAGCCTCCAACGAACAGTGAGGCCAGCGACAGAATCCCTAACCGCTGGAGGTGAACAAAGATCTTTCTGCCCCAATGCTTAGTGGTTGCTGATATAAATGCCTTGATTTCCGTATTCTCGTTGGCCATTGTGCCTTCATCGGGGAGGCAGGGAGGCTCGGTGGTGGTTGTGTGGACGAGATGGGGTGGGATCCGGAATCCAGGAACCAAACACCTTTTGAATCAAGTAAGTAGGAAGTGACTTGGCACTTGCCACTCATTGTACAATGCAGTGAGGATTGTCGACCGCAGCATGTCTTGAAGGATTCGCATCCTTGTTGCGGCTGAGACGGAAATAGAATCCACAGCATTTGAACTAGTGGCAAAAAAGCAGCGAGTGATGATCAAGACGGCTGGATGACGTAGCAGAACGAGCACCTAGACAAGAGTCAGAGAAACACCAGAAGATCATTAATTAAACTTGAGGAGTCAAGGCAGAGGAAAAAGAATTTCACTCTGACATTTGCACGGGAATTCTACCAGATGTCATGTCGCATGTTATTCGGTGAGGCAATATGATGACAGGTACCACACTATCTCCAACTCTTTTCACATCTCCAGACCGACAAAACTGTGAATATACGAATGCATATTCTTTCCTCCTACCTGACACAGTGTTCTTTTGCACTGTGGTTGCGCTAGATGCAGATAGGAGGGCGGTTGAATTAGAAGAACCTCTTGACCACGGATGAAATGACATTTGTCTCAATAGGCGTTGTATGGCGTAAACCTAGTCTGGGCTCGATAGGTGTTGATGCGACAAATTTCAAAGATAATCGATAGTAACTACTTCCCAATTCAACTACCGTCATGAAGTTTTCAGCCTTTTTCTCGGCTGTGTAATCATTGCGAGTGATGATACAGATTTACACAGGTAGCACGTCGTGTCGCCCTACATCATCAGGCTTGGGAAACATCTTCGGGCTGCCACCTTGGTCGCTGACGGCTCTGGGAGGAAAAGTGTAAGCAAGCGTCGCCAATGGGTTGTAGTAGATATCAAACCGGACAGCTTGGCCTGTGGTGGCCGTCACGGCGGTTTTGGTCGCTGAGCCGGCCTCAGCTTCCAGAGCCAACAAGCCAAACTCTTTCGCGAGCATAGTTCCGGCGCCCTTAACGGCATGTCCGACACCACCTCCGCCTACCATTCCAAAAGTTCCGCCCATGAGCGCATCGGTCACGAGCTTGTCGGCACTGAGATCAAGACCTTGGTAGTTGAGTTGATTCTCGATCTGACCGCCAAGCGTAAATCCCGCCATTCCGCCCGCGCAGGCGCCAGCGGGCCCTCCAACGATAAAGCCACCGACAGCACTGACAGTTGAGACAAGATTTCCGGTGCTGGCTGCCCACAACTTTTGGGCGCCTTCTTTGTCCCCGACAAGGTATTGAATGTCCGCCGTCGCGTGGCCGACTACGACGGGGATAGCACCGACGACGTTGAGAACACTACTCTAAAGCCATAGGGTGCGGTGTGTGAAGAAACTGGGGAGATCAGAGATCAGGCCTGACTGTGGATGAGCAACAAGCCCGAGGGAGTGTGGGAGGATCTCGACAAGGCGAACAAGAGCTAGTCAAATGCGATAGCTCAAGCAGAGTTGCAAGCTGAGAAAAAAAGTGATGTGGAAGATGAGTTACATGCCTAAACGACTATGTACATCTACGTTCCGTATTGTGCTTGTTTATTTGGCCCCTATTCTGTCCGTCCCGAATTGAATATGCGCTGAGGCCTAGCGCTGTCAACTACATGCGCGGCCCGTCCCTCGCGTCATGACAATGCTCCGTGCGCCTGGATCGGTCCAGACCTGCTCCCAGCTGAGCTTGTGGAATGGCTAGAATGGACGCGGCGCACGCTCGGTGCGGTGAGGATGGATAACTACAGGAAGCTGAAGCGAGACGCAAGGGGCATTCGCAAAGGCAAGCCACAGCAGGTGCATCTGATGCGCTGAAAACCCCACTGCCCGTTGCCAAAACAGGCCGTTGCTGCGACCCCAGCCTTGAGCACCATGCCCCAGGCTTGTCTTCTAGCTCAGCCCGCCACCAGCCAAGGCGGGATTGAAATAGGAAATCGTTAGTACAATTGCTAGTTCGCCATGAGGTACTGTCCGTTGACATATCATTTTCGGAATGTGACCTCAGCTCGCCACAGTCAAGTTCTCCAATTGACGGTGCGTATCACAACCTATCAACTTCTGGAGGCCGTTTATTCGTTCGAATGAAGGTTGACGGTCAGAAGTGACATATTCTCAAATACTCATGAATGCATACCCCTCGTCTGAAGGCTTTTGTGTCTCTGGTGTACGCTTCTTCATACGAACCGTTTGCTTTGTGTCTGGACTGTCACTGCCCTAGACGAATTGGGTATATAAGTCGTAGACGAGTCTTCATCTAACCCTCGTTTCAATCATCTTCGTGTTTCAAGGCTATTTGTATAAGCCACACCTCTCTTCACCATGCAGGCCCCTGACGCTCTTGAGGCCCTGTCGGTGTATCCGTCGGCTCCGGGCGATGCCCCCGACGGCAAGTACGCCATACGCAGTGGCAAGAAGAAGCATGTGGACTCATCCGGCCCTGGCATCGAATACACCAGCTGGTTTAGGACTCCCGTCAGTCTCCCTGTTTTGTATCACAAATCCGTGGTAGAATATTAACCGCGATATTGTATCAAACATACAGTCCTTAGATACCAAGACCATTCAGCGTTTACACAGCATTCAACTCTTCACAGAGTCTCGCGATCAGGGCTTCTGTGATGATAAGGCCGCTGGAATCTGGACATGGTTCGAGATTGCTATTATGGAGAATGCAGACGCCGTCACACCCCGAGTTAAAGATGATATTCAGCTCTCGTGGTCCAGTCACAAGAACGTTCTAAGCTGTGAAGATTTCACTTGGGTGAGTTCTTGCGTCAACCGCAAAAATCTCAGAAGAAAGCCTTGAGGCAACTGCAGAAAGTCAGGATTGACATGGGACAGCTCCAAGGCAACGTGTTCTCTGAGGACCACGACTTGTTTCGTCTCGTCGAAGTATGTATGCTATTGTTCAAGCCCAACTGCGTTGGGGTGCTGACACAAATTGCAGAAAAACAACGTGATTGCTGTTCGGCTTTGCTCTCGTTTCCAAGGCTGGAAATTGACGGCAAAGCGTGGTTACCCGGTCGTGGAACTGGCCGCCCCGAGTAAGTTGACCATAGCAGCGTGAGATTCCTACTACAACAATGACCATGTTAACATGTAAGCCTGAAGTTGAACGCGAGTCTCTCAACTTCGGTTCTATTGCAGCCAAGGTCCTTGGCACGCAAGAGGCTCTCAATGACATCAACAAAGTCATGTTCCCTACTCTTGAACAGCTTCCGTCCGTACCAGATAGCCTCTTCAAAGCTGATATGCTCAGCACGGCCAGTGCAAACGATCGACCCTTGCGTGTATTGTCACTGGGTAGGTCGCGCAGCCAACAGAACCTGGTCAAGATTGATGAGGACTATTCTGACCATGAGTAGATGGTGGTGGCGTGCGCGGCTTGGCGTCTTTGATGATCTTGAAGAAAGTCATGGACCAGTCATGCCCAGGAAGAAAGCCTTGCGAGGTGTTCGACATGATCGGCGGCACCAGCACTGGAGGGTAAGTTAACGTGAATCACATATTGGCACGTCAATATGGCCCACTGATCATGCGCCAACTAGCTTCATCGCGATCATGCTGGGTCGGCTCGAGATGAGTGTCGATGATTGCATCGCAAGCTATGTCAAGTTCATGGGACAAGTATTTCCGCAAGTACAGGAAGTCAAGTCATTTGCCGGTCTTGTCGGCCACTTCTGGCCCAGCCTTGGAACGGTTGTCAAAGTTGGGGTCAATGGAGAGAAATGGGACCACAGTGTCCTCGAGAAAGTCATCAAGGATCTCATCAGGGAAAAGCTCAACCAGGACCCTGACTCCGTCCCTCTTCGTGACGAGAACAATACCAACCCATCTTGCAAGGTGTAAGTATAGTTTTTGTCCTGCAGGCGCTGTTTGTAGTGCTGACCCTCACCAGCTTCGTCACAGCCGTTGCCTCGCACGGCTCGAACAACCACGCACCCGTCTTGCTTCGGTCGTATACGAATCCTCTGCAAATGCCTGAGCTGCCGGATATTAAGCTCTGGGAGGCAGCACGCGCTACATCGGCAGCCCCGATGTTCTTCAAGCGTCTAGAAGTCAACGGCCAGACATTCGTTGATGGAGGCCTTCAAGCTAATAACCCCATTGGCTGGTATGTACTCACCGATCCATGACTTGGTGGCTGAAGAGCTGACTTGACGTTGATAGGCTTTGGAATGAAGTACTTCAGGTCTTCGGCCCAGTCCGTACTACCGGCTGTTTCCTCAGTATTGGCACTGGGACTCCCCTCAGCCAGACCTTGTCGACTGTCAATCATCCAATTGACTTTACGAATGGCCTCGCGAGTATCGCTACCAACAGCGAGATGGCGAATATTTTGTTCCGCTCTCTGATCAACGCTTTCGCACCTCGCAGCATGGCCAGAAAGTATTGGCGCTTCAATGTCGGCGATGGACTGCCCGACTGGGTCGAAGAGGATGGCGTTGGGAGCTGGAGGTTTCTGGCCAAGGTTGAGGAGAGTAATGTGGGCGAGCTCGACGATGTCGCGATGATCGACATTACGAGGACGAGAGCCGAAGATTACATCAAGGAGCCTGGCTTTACAACGCTGCTCAATGAGTGCGCGCCAGCTCTGGGAGGTGGAGCGTAATGGCCACGCAGCAGTGGTGATGCCTGCTTAGTTGATGACGTCTGAATTGCCAGCGAGCGGGGGCTGGCCTGAGGTCACTGTGCCAGTACAAACACTACAGATATACCTGGCCTCATGTTGTCAGTGGCTTATTGTTGAACACTGCCTATTTCAGACATCCAAACCTCGAATGTGATAGATGGTTGACTTCATAATGACTCTGCAGCTTGTTAGGGCTAACTAATGCGAACGGTATCTGGGTTTAAACCAACGCGCAAAGTGAGGGTAGATATATGTACACTCGTCCCCAGCTAAGATGCAGGTTTTTTTCACCAGGTAGCCGCCCTCCGGACCTGTTCTTGCACATGACACTGATCACATGACACTGATGACAATACGTACCTACCTCCTTACTTGAGACTTTGCGTCGTCAAGAGGGAGGCATCACTATGGCTCGAATTCTTTTGACATTGATATTTTAAGGAAGGTGCCGCCGTGAAGGCGACTGTTCTTGCCCGCTTGTGGAGTTCTGCGGATTCGTCGATGTTTTTCATTGCCTACCTACCTAGGTAGGTAGGTAGATAGCTAAGGTACCTTAAACTAAGTCAAGCTCGCGATGTGGTTGAAAATCATTGTGTCACTTCTCGTGGCAAACACTAAAAGAAACATCTTGCTTTCAGCCGCACTGCAAGCTGAAGGAACTCGGAAGCGAGAAACCTACGACGATGGATCAAGAGCATGTGGTCCAGAACGCGAGTGACAAGTCTCGAACTCTGCCCAAGTGAAACAGATCCTCCCCGTGCCGTCGATACCACGACTGAGAGACATGTATTCAATGGTCTCTTGAAAAGGCCACGGATAGCATAGTTTTATGCAGTGGAAAGACAGAGGCCAAGTGTGCAGCAAGGCGTCATAGATGATCTCTCCTTAGGTAGATAGGTATACGACGATGCAAGCTGCAAGAGCACATGTCTCACGGCAATATCAGCCCACGTACGTTTCTTTTTGACCTCTGGACACGTTTGTGCCCTCGGGATCGGAACGACATGTTTTGAAATGCTGCTGGATCGGTGTCCTTTAGGAAGGCTCGTTTACTGGACGACCAAGTCTCTTGACTGAAGCCACGTTCAACTCACACCATAGCCATGTCCATTTTCCGGGGAGGCAAGGCATCTTCTTCGCTATTCTGGCCAGCCAGAGAAAGCAATGAAAATGCAGAGAGCATTCGCGTCACCTGGAGGCAGTGTTATACCAGGGACACAGTGGAGGCGATCATGTGCAAGCATAGAGGACAGCCTCCGAGCAGAGGCAAAAATTGAGATAAATCTAGTGATGTCCCTTGGGACAACCATCAGAGATTAATCTTGATGAGAACCTGCAAATGCATCAGTGATCAAGCCCACCAGAAATGGCCAAAAGCAAGGAAGTGAGCCTCACAGATACTACACTTGATCTGCAAATTTAATGTCAGCATAACTCCCAAGAGACCGAAGAGAGTGAGAAGCTAGGTACCTAAGCCAAAAGGCAAAGAGAGCTAAGGAGGAAAGAAGAAACGTTTACCCAAGTCGACGCCTGGCTTGTCGATATTTGAAGGCTGTTGGAAAGCGGTGTAGGGGAGTGCAATCAGTAAACCTGGCAGAACCTGGCCAATGAGAGTGATGAGCATCAACCTGAATGGTGCAGCGAATGGTGGTGGGGGACGCCAGCTGGCGGGACTGGCGGCAGGACCGATGGCAGCCAAAATCTCATGAGGATCGTCAGGGAGAATGGTTCCTGCCTCCTTCGGTTTCTGCGGTGAGCAAGTCTCCTCCCATCTGCCAAGTCCACTTCTTGTCCCCGGTTGCCTGTCATGCCTTTCAAGACAGCACAACAGTCTTAGCCTTCAGCTTCGCATCGGTGACACCCAGTGGCTGGGCAGTGCTCATTGCTTTTGCATGACGAACAACATGCTCGTCTCAATTGTCGATGCAATGCGTGAGCACGCTTGGAAGTCTCGGCCAAATACGCACGTTTGAAGCTACTTGATTTGGTCGTTGTGATCCAGCACACTGGCCACACGCAATTCTGGCAGACCAGTGTGATATGACACCATTCGCTTCGGGGACGACCCTGGTCTGTCTTGCTTGCCCGCCGGGCTGTCTCAACCCTCGCCACCCTCGACCACCCAGAATGGCCAGACTGGCCAGCGAGTAGGCTAGCGAGCAATAAGGCACAGCTTAAGCAAGGTGAACTGCAACGTCTCTCCCTGACAGAATCAGACATTACAATGGCGCCTGCTCCTCCATCCCTTGGGAGAGGCGTGGGGTTGCATTTTCAGTGAACACAAACGTTATCACGACATCGATCTAGCCATCCTCTGTCATTCCGACACCCGCTATTGGATCGGTACAGCAGCTAACTCCGGGAACACGACGGCGAGCGGGTTGCAACCCAATTGCGAGCCCGGGCCGATCAGCGGGAAATCCACGCTGCAGGGTCTTTTTTTCTCCGTCACGGCACAAAGGTCAGCTGCCCGCTGACTAGGACGACATCAGCGAGCCGATTGCCACCATGCGGTAACACAACTAGAGAGACACCCATTTGCGGTCGTCGACACGAGCAGCACATGCACAGGACAAAGAAAAGAGGCTCAGGGCCGGTGCGGTACGACAGAGGTACCCGCTGACTTAGCACGGCAGCCATCGTATTGTGTGCTCTGCCGCCTTGGTGCGTGTCTCGGGTACCGTGGAACCGTCGTAGCGCCACAGAAGGGAAGTCTCACTCGGATTCAGGACGAAGCCCCAAGCACCGCCCAACACGTGAAAACCGCAGACAATGCTGGTAAGGGGGTTCCTCGTGCGCCATCCACTGGCTTTCGACCGCCCATCTCCAGAGGTGTGGGAGAGGAAAAACAAAGGGCAGACCGCTGTGGGCTCGAGACGCAGCCAAAAATGTCTGACAGGACGGCAGGCTGGCTTTAGCCCCAGGCTGTGCGGCGCCGGCATAGTTGACGGTGATCTATATTCAGCACTGTCGAGTCGATGCAACAGCTGACGGCGGAGGCGATGGAGGCGCAGTGAGGCAGGCTGGCAGGCTGGCAGTGGCCCATTCGCTCAGACGTCTCCACGGGTTAGCAGACGACTGGATGGATGATGCCACTTTTCGCTGAGGATCATCATCACCCGCCGCCCATCCATCGTTTCGCTCGTCCGCCACTGAAGGGGGACACCACACCCAGAAATCGCTTGATGGCCATCATGTTTGACGAGGCGGACACTCCTCAATCGACACATGCGAGCATGGATGTTGCGTCCATCATCCAGAGGGGAGAACCCGCTCCTCTGGTGTTATTTTCTCCCTCAAAAATGGCCGTTGCTACAGAAGCCAGACGCAAGGGACCTAAAAAGGACGCACGAAATAGAGAGGTGGAGGCGCCTTTTCGTATTAACCGCGGTCCTCTCTCCAGAAATCCTGGCACCTAGCGCGCAGTTGGCTCCCCTTGCACCCCTGTCGACCCCCTTTTGGCGGGCTTGAGTTGGGGTCTTGGATCTTGGATCTGCCCCTCTTGCCAGGCAATCCTTCGTTGGGCTCAGCCGTGTACCGGGACGCAGGTCAAAGCTGCCAACGGCACTCAGAAGCATAATGCTGCTCTGGTCTACTCCACCAAGTGGAACGAGCAACGTCATTTTGTTGCGTCTCTACCGGACTTTGGGGTTCTTAGCAACACGACGACGCCCACGCCATCTTTTCTTTTCATCACTCACATCCGCGCGGCCCAGCACTAGAACGCAACAGACAAGCACAAATTCAAGAATTCTCTAGTCACTAGCAACACCCCGGCGTCTCCGATATCCTGCCCTTTTTTCCCTCTTGTCCCGCGTGTTAGGAGCTTCGTCGGGTTCTCTTGTTACGAATTGACTTGGCGGCCCAGAACACGAACAAGATAGCGAGCGACCAAGCAAGGACGTTTCAACTTGACACTGGCAGGACTAGTAGATTGCCTGGCAAGACCTCCTCTCGGCATCAACGCACGTCCGTTGCCGTTATACTCACTCCCCCTTGCTTGCCTTCCCTGGTGCTAACTTGTGTCGCTCTCAGCCACGAACCCCAACCGGCCACCCCCCCCGGCAACCTCGAGGTCCTCCACTCGCGGGCTTCTTTCCTTGTCCGATCCACCTTCTCCACGCAGGGCATCGCCCGACAGACGGAACAGAAAGCAGAGCCCAGGGGCTCCGCCTGTTGAGGTCTGACATCCTTTTCTTCTCACAGAACGCTAGCCTGCTTGCAGGAGAACAGCGTAACGGCTCGAGATTCCCATCCGCCGCAGAAGAACTGCCCACTCTTGTCCCCCCAGCCGGCCCAAAGGCCCCTCCCCTCCGACTCGAGTCTCGCCCCGACCTCTCCTCTACGCTCCGAACATACTTCACCTAGCACCTCCCGCCTGTTTTCCGACACAGCAGGGTGCTCGCTATCCTCGTCTTGTCTGTAAGCATCGGCTCGTGACGCTGCGCTTCTTCAGGTCCAAGGTCCCATACCAAAGCCTCAAGGACATCCAGCAAAGCTTCGCAGCCAGCTTGCCCAGTATGACGTCGAGTAAGTTCTCGGTTTCTCGTGCCTCTCGTGCCACCAAGTCGACCCTTTATTCTCTCTCTTCTCCTTTCAAATCCTCTTCCAATCTATCCGATGTAATATCCTCGACGCCTTCCACGCCTCCTTCGCACAAGCGGTATTCGATCTCGACCTCGTCCGATCACACCAAGGCCAGCAGTGGGCAAGAAAGTGCCGAGAACTCGCCTCCAGATCCACCGAAACGTCGTTCGACACACGAATCTAATCAACATCAGCCGCTGCCGCCGCCCAGACTGCCAGAGCAAGAGCAAGGACAAACGCAGCCCAGGGACAGGTCCAATGAGGAGAAGACAGGACTGCCTGCTGAAGCCAGTGTCCTGTCCGACTTCCATGTTGGGCCGCGGACTGGAGCTGAGGATGTTCGACGACTCCGTCATGATGCTCCAGCAGCAGCATTGTCCGAATCGGATGACGAAGACCGTGTGATCAGGCTTCCCGCAAGTCCCACGAAAACCGACGAAGGCTTCCCGTTCGAACAGCAAACGCTGAAAAGCACCAATGGAACACCTCCTGCCCAGACAAAACCCCAGACGCAACCACAGCAGACACAGTCGTCTTCTGCGAGTACAGAACCACAGGACAAGCCAGTGCTTCGTCCTATGCCTCGGAAATCAAGAACTTGGGCCGGCCGTTTGTCCGTGTTTCTACCGTCACTCATACTCCCTTCTACAGACCAATCACCTACATCCTCTAGCGGTGTTCACCGCAAGCCGGTGCCCGACATTTCTCCCGTCGACAGCGCTCATTCACAGCACCATAATCCGGGCTTGCGCTCATCCCAGACCTTCGACCTGGGATTTACCTCGTCCACATCAGCCGACTTAACGTTGCGCCACCCAAGCACCATCCCACATCCCACAACAGCGCCTCCCCCGGTACCATCCCAGCACCCTCACGATGCACCAATATCCGCCTCTCTGCCCCAAAGTCAGTCTCTCCCCCTCAGAGAGGCTCCTACGTCGGCGGTCCGAGCTCCTTCACAAAACCGCCTACGCAAGGAAAGAAGGCAATCACCACCAACATTGGCACCGCCCTTGCCTCCTCAAGAGGCTCCTCCTCTACCCCCAGATGCCGGTCAATTTCCCGGCAAACTGCAGAAAGAAGCTCCCGAAAACAGGAGGAGAAGCAACTCGGTTCAGCAAAGTCGAAAGTCGAGCTTTCCCATGCTTGGTGTACAAGCAAGGGCCATTTCACCAGCACCCGATTCCAGGGGCAGGAGTTCCTCTGCTCAACCTCCCGGCACGAGGATTGTGTCGGGACAGACCTCTGTCAACAGCCAGAGCCCAGGGCGCGAGGAAAAGCGTGGCAGGCTGCGACGTAGTTGGCTGCCAGGAGGCCGCTCTCGCTCTAACTCTGCAGATCTGGGAGCAGGCCAAGCCTCGCAAGCATGGATGCTGGGAGATGATACTGTGGGCGATTACAAGACTGGGTTCCTGCTGAATGGAGAGAAGGTAACAGCATATCTTACGCGGGATGTCTTCGTCTGCTGACTGGATGGGCTAGGTACCCGAGCTTTGGAACGAATCTGGAGCTGTTTATGTTTACCTCTTTCCTCCAGGTGCTGGTATAGGACCATCATTCAAAGTCCCTATCTACGCTATCAGCTCCTCGCAGGTGTTCAACGACTTGATTCAGTCTGAAATGGGTCCTGGAGGAACCAGAAGCCGAGCCAGGAGCTTTTCGGGCAGGGACAGCTTGACGGCCGACGATGCGCTTTCACGAAGATACTCGCCGCCGTCGCCCTCGGCGGACGGCGAGGACGGCGCTAGCGATCTTCGGCTCTTCCTTCCGGGTGCCGCAGTGCCTCCCGATAACGCCCAAATGGCTGCAGCTGGACAACCCCAGCCGCAACGTGGCGATTTTGATCGCCTCATCGCGATTCGCAACCTATTCGCCTTCCTCACGGGACAGCCACTCGTGGCAACCAAGGCCAACCCCACGACCTTCACCGCCTTCCTCCAGATTTCGAACCTTCTTCTGGAGTTTGGCTTCACCAATCTTGATGGATCGAGCTTCGGTGACGCCGTCGACATGAGCTTCAGTTTCTTCAACTCGCAGTTGGCACTTTCCGATGTGAGACATAGCCGGGAGAAGACACTAGAGGCACTCATCCTCGGCGAGCGCATGCGATCGATGGAGCTCTACAGTGAGGCTTTCGCCCACGCAGTCGGCAAGTATACGCCCATACTCGAGCTCAAGTCGCCCTTGTTTGATCAGCTCTCGCCCCAAACACGACAGAAGCTTGAGCGGGCTCACCTGGACCTTGTCAACCGCCAGCATAACATCAATGGGAGACTCGAGCAGTTTGACTTCCCCTCGCTCTTTTCTGGCATTGCCAACTCGACCTCCATTGCCGAAGTCAAGAGCGTTCGGTTCAAGCAGTGGCGCCAATCCTTCAACAAGATGCGGACATTTGTGCTCGCCTACTACAAGTCCAATTTCGGCAACTGGCCACCCAAGGCCAGCAGCAAGAAGAACCCGTTCTCCGAGAGCGGCCTCAACCGGTTGGTGCTCAAGGCACTATACTCGGACATGTGTGCCTTGTATGATCTACTCGTCGACCGTGAAGACTTGACGCCGCGCGTCATCGACGGGGTCCCTGACGACGATTCTACGAGCGACAACCCAGTAGCTGCGGCCCTCCGCAAGGTCCTCACAGAGTTCGACGCTTCGACACCTCCCGTGCTGCCACCGATTCCCTTCGACATTCCTCAGATCCCTTCTATGCGCGCTATTCTCGAAACATACGACCAGAAGCCGGCCAAAGAACAGGCACGCATCGATAAGCGCATCAAGGAGCACGAGCTCATCCTCGTTTTGCACAAGGCTTACAACTACGACACAAACACTCTGCAGGTTCCTTTCCTAAGAGCGTTCAAGGATTTCGAGAATCACGAGGCTCGCGGAAAGAATGCTGCCGATCTGGCCGATCAGCGTATCGGCTACTGGCTATTCCTCTACGTGGTGATTCAATCGCTGCCCATGCTTGTGATTGACGCACCCGGCCTGCAGTACACCGAGGGAGTCGAATATTTCCTCTGCGAACCGCCGATGGGCAACCCCCCTTGGCTCGAGGATGCGCAGGTGCGCAAGATGTGGTACGAGGTGTCGGGAGGTGCTGGCTACGTTGAGCTTTCAGCAGATTCGGTCATGTTCAGCGTGGAAGCCATCTACCATCGCTCTCATTGTTGGGCTGCCGCCAAGAACTGGGAGGGCCTGGATGGTCCCGACATGGCCGCGCCCACAGAGCCAGTCATGTCTCCCCTGGCCCCGCCGCCCATGTTCATGGAACACGAAGGCGGACCGCTCGGTACTCCGCCAGCCATCGAGTCGACCCCCCCTCCGGCCTCGCCCAAATACGTCGGCAGCCGGCGAACGGCGTCTCCTGGTCGGGCGCTGGCCTCGCGCAATTCGGCTTATCGCTCGAGCATCGCCATTGGCTTGGAGCCCGTCCCGATGATGGAGGGCCTGCCGGGCGATCGCAGCTCGCGCATTCCCAGTCTAGCCAACAGCAGCGTTGCCTCGCTGGGCCAATACCCGGCCTCCTCTGGCGGCCTGCCACGCAACCCCTCAGTCACGAACCTCCTCGGGCAGCAGCAGCAACAACAGGACTCCCCCACTCAGTCGACCATGACCTTTGATGACATTCTTAGGGGTTCGCAGCCGAAGACTAAGAAAAAGAAGGGCAAGTTCTTCTAAGGTGGTGGGGGTATACGGAACTCCCCACCGTCATATGCCTTGATGACACAGCACGGAAAAGCTCGCATATCCTCAAGGACATACTCTGTACATACCACGAACAGCATCTTGTGATTTTCTGTCCATGTTCTCCTTTTCTTCTTTATGGATTTTCTACCATTGCCCTCGCGCATCATTGCGAGCACGACATTGCGATAAAAAAAATCAATAGCACATATGGACGGGGGTTTAATCTGAAGACCTGGCTGATAGACGAGGTCAAGCGTGTGGAAAGGAGCAGTGATGGAGAAGGTAGTAAGAAGCAACTCTACTGCACATTTGAAGCATGAACACGGACCTCACAGTCCCACCATATACTTGTCGTGAACCAGGTTCAAGTGAGGGTGTAGACGGTTGTCGACATGTGGCCTTGATGTCACATCACAGGCTCATGCGCACAAGGCCCCTGATCCTCATCGGCCAAGGGTCTACCTAGCACTACAGGCCAGCAACGCCGAACGATGAGCCAGGCTGTTGCGGCGTGCCTGGCTCTCTCGGTGCCCGCCAGTCGACAACCACTCCGATGCCTTGTGTGCTCTGGCACCTGGTTGCTCCGTACACACTGCTCACTCGCTTGCCACCTTGCCTTGGCTGACCCGAAAAGGGTGGCCCTCCGGGTTCTGCGCCTGGTGGTCGCACGGCATGTTCAATTCGCCTTTCAATTCGCCTCTTATCCCCCGTTTCGACGGATTGCAATGGTCTTGACGAGGGGGTAGACTGGCGTTCGCGGCCTCTTACTTTGTTTTGATGTCGAGGCTTGTCGAGAAACGACTATCTCTCCTCGAGATCCATAGACCATCAAGGTCCCTTCGTTTAAGCTGCAAGCGGCTCACAGCGCACAAGTCACCGAAAGAATGCCGCGCACGGTTCGGATTCGAACGGCACTGTGATTAATCTAATCGATCAGTTGCTATCCTAGGTGTATGCGGTGACCTATGTACAGTGCCTCATGACCGTGACCGCGTCCGTAACTGTGACCCAAACCGTGACCCAAACCGTAACCGTGACCCCAATCGAACCGTACCGTGTCATCCCGCCCGCCGGCATCCTGCCAATCGCGGTTACAGTGTCCGTCCGTCCATTGTGGATGTGCTCTCTACCCTAGTTGTGCCATGCCGAATCCCTCGCCTTGATCCAAAGTCGTTCTTTTGGCTCGGTTTGGCGTGTAACCCTCGACCATAATTATCATCCTGACGCATTAGTTCGTCGTCAGGCGACGGTGACCAGGACGCTGCATCTGAGGAAGCCGCACGTGGCTCGTTCTTCGCCGCCAAATCGTCTCGTTTTGTGCTCCCTAGCGCTTGCTTTCTTTATCCCTTTCCGTCCACCCACGCGTGTTCTGGTGGCTGATTTTAGCCCGTTGTGTGCGTGTATGAAGAGCAATCCGTGTACTCCGAATCCCCGTGTAGCAACAGGTCGTAGATGCTATACCCGTGTGCCTCCTCAGCCCAATGTTGGTTCTCCATGATACAAATAGCTTGTTTGCTGTGAAAAGCATGTGTTCAGCCGACAATGCTCGTTTTCGGCATGAGCCGAAGAAGGATGTCCAGATTTCCCTTTGAACAAATCGACGCGAATCGTCAAAACAGTACAATCACCTCATGAAACAGGACATCATTTCCTCCAGCCCACGTTCCATATAACGTGAGCTATGTCCCTGGCAGTGTTGACCGTATCAACAACACGGCCGATGATGCCTTCGTGGAACCAGATTCGCCTTCTTCGTACGGCATAAACATGCCGGACGGCGTGCGACGCATGCCCGCTGGCTCCGCATTCAGACTGCCCGTGGACGGCGTCCGTTGCAGAGCACCCTCGTCGGCAGCCGGAGATTGCCAACCGCCCCGGGGACTGAGCAATTCCTCCATAGCAGCGTCTTCATCGTCATCGTCTTCGATGAAGAATCGTCCCGAGGATTTCGCAGGTCGCAGAGTCTCCTGAGAGGAAGACTGTGAGATGGGTCCACGGTAGATGCCTGTACTGTGCTTCATGGCTGTCTCGACAGGCTCAGGCGTATCCTCGCGGTACTTCAATGTAGTCGACGGAAGCATGGCGATCGTCTTGCCCTCGGACTGGGTCGTCGTCTTCTTCTTCTTGGACTGCCGCCTCGCGATGGGAACGCGCTTTTTCGTCTTGCTCCGCTTCATCATGATGGCGTCTTCATCCGAGTCACTGTGGTCGTAACGATCGCTGTACATGGCTTCGTCTTCGTCCTCCTCTCCCTTGATCTCTACGGCAATGCACTGTTCAACTTGCTCGTTGAAGTGAATGTGTTTCCTCTCGACACTCGGCGATGCAATGCCAGATGAGGAGACAGATGGGGCGAGACTGCTAGCTGTATCTCTGCTGAGTCGACGGGACGAGAAGGGAAACGCTACATAGTCGGTGGTCGAGGCGCGCTCAAGCGTAGGCCGAGAAAGCCGTCTGCCGCCGCTCGAGCTCTCCTGGGCCTGAACTGCAGCGGCCGCCGTCTTCACCAGTGACGAGGCGGAGAGAGACCTCTGCAGCATGACCTCGGACATGCTCCGCTTTTTCAGAATGGGCTTCTTGTGGATGAACGAGTTGTTCTTGGTCAGAATGCCGCTGTTCTGACTCGAAGAGATGGGTGCAAAGTTGTTGTGGCCAGTCTGCAGAGGACCGTACAACCACGTAACGTCGCAGTCTTTGAGCCTGGAATCAGTTAGCTGGGATTGCGCTTGACCCAGTAGGGGTGAGTGACGAACCAGTTGAGGGCTTCGGGTGATACGGTTCGCAAATTGTTCTTGGCCTTCATCCAGGTTCTCCACGACGCGTTCTCTAAGCGGGCGCTGTTGCTGTACTCGGAACGCCGAGACACAACGTACTTCCACGACGACCAAATGTCTTCCTCCCTCCAGTTGTGCGAAAGATAATCGACATGTCTTGTCGGTTGTACCCTGACAGCTGTGTCATCTTCGGCACGGTCAACTTCGAGGACAAATTCTGGAGACCCTGGCCTCGAGGTGTTGCCAGAGTTGTCGTTCTCGTTTTCAGCCGGCGATACGGTGTAAGAGTCGCCAGTTCTTGGGCTCATGGGTGGCTCAAGGTCCTCCGGGTCGTAGAAGTTCGCGGCCGAGTAATGCGGTAGGACAAAATGGTCGTCGGGGTGTACTGGTATCGGGCATGCATCGTCGCAGTCAGACGCTAATGACAGGTTGCTCGCAGGGGTCGACGCATAGGACAAGTCTGTCGATTCCGTCGACGCAAATTGCGGCGACGAAGGCGCAGATGATGGAGCCGAGTCCGGGTAGATCTTGGGATGCGAGTAGCTGCTGTCGGTCTTGCGGCTGTCGGCGGCGGGGTGCGAGGGAAATGACGACGTCTGATTTGTGTTGAATTTGGGTTGTGAGTGTGATCGGCGTAATGATGATGTTGAGAAGTAGGAATTCTCGTCCGAGGAGAGAACGACAGCCATGATGGCGGCCAGGTGTTGTGTAAGTGAGAGTGGGATCCTCGCAGTGACGTCAATGCTAATGCTACAGCTCAGCGAGCAAGAGCTACAGCCGTGAAGGCGAACTTGTCGTTCGCGATTGTCGTAGTCGCCGTTGGCTGAGGTGGCGGGGCAGATGTTGGACAGATCAAGAATAACGGGATGTTCGGATTCGAATAGCAGTGACTGACTCTCCAAGTAGGGGGGCGGAACGTCGGTGGTCGAGGCGGTGACCAAGATGGGGGGATTTCGTGGGGTATCAAATTGTTGGGGAAGCAAGGAGAGAAAGCAGCGCTAGCTAGCCTGCAGCCAAAGAGGCGGTTAGCAAGGGGCGATACTTCAGCGGTCTTGCGCGACGATCGTGTAGACAAGCGATGGGCAGCCGGTGACGCCAAAGAGCAGTGAGAGAAGGGTAACACAGGAGTGAAGGAACAAGGCGATAAAATAGAGTTGATCAGGACGCAGCCATAACGGACGAAAGGGGGGGGGGACAACACGAGGATAACAGGAGCTCGGTGGTAGCAGCAGCAGCTTCGAGGCAAGCAGAGGCTGGCCCGCAGACCAGAGCCGGAAGATCCTCTTCTCGGCGAGCAGCGAGCTTGCCCAGGTGTGATGGTGCAAGTGTGGTGGTGGTGTTGGTATTGGTATTGGTACCGTGGTGGTAGTGGGAATGGCGTACAGTGCAGGGCGGGATGGAATTGTGGGTGGGAGGGTGGTCGGATGGACGATGGAGGGTACAGAGTGTGCAGAGGTTACAAGGAGGGGGTGGAGCAATGACCACACCGGTGCAGAAGCGCAGCGTAGGGCGAATGCACCTGGCGGTCGATGCTGTATGCAATGCGAGTGTGAAGACACTGCAGCAGCGGCTTGTAGACTTGCAGACTGACCGACCGACCGAGGGCAGTAATCGAACATTGCCTTGTGGAGTGCAGCGATGCAGGGGGGGCCGGATAACCGAAGCGTTCCAGGCGAGAGGCAGAAAACCTTGGATCGCCGCTTGACTTTGTAGCCGATAACAGGTCCGGACAGGTTGGTCCTGGCCGCGCTCCGGCTTTTGGCAGATGGTGATTGATTGATGGTCGAGGCCACTGATAATGGGAGAAGGAGTACGCCAGAGAGGATAAGGAGCAAGAGGGTGTCGCAGGGGATGCTGTTGGTGAGGCAGGCCATGCATGAGATGAAGGGCTACAAAGGAACACACACACAGAAAGAGTGAGAGAGAGAGAGAGAGAGAGGAAAGAAGGAGCATGGTGATGCAGCCGCTGATAACGTACCTCGTGGGATTTGATGTCGCGTTGTTGTGGTTACAGGAGGGAGAGGGGAGTGTGCGGGATTCGAAAACC